GAGCTCAGGGCACCCCCCTTCCCCCGCCTTGCTCCTGCCTCCCGCCCTCCTCCTCCGCGCTCCCCCCCCCCCACCCTTTCCCCCCTCCCCGCTCCCTGGTCCCCCTACCGCACAGATGGCGCCGCTGTCTTCAGCCCCATCCTCCCGGCCGGACCCGTCGGCGTCGGCGTCGGCGCGCCCGGCCGATCCGGCCGAGGTCCCGGCCACCACGATCCTGCGTGCCACCGCCAGCACGCCGGAGCTCCAGTCAATTCACTCGCAACTGCGTGTTCTGGAGCAGACCAGCGTCGCCCTCCGACGGACCGAGAGCAAGCTCCTGAAGGACACCGAGTCCTGGTGCGTGTGCCTGGCCGTACTTCGCCGGTCCCTTCGTGCGCGATCATGCTGACCTCTTTTTGCGCTCTTCCATCCCCCTGCGCCGTCCCCCCTTCCCTCCTTTCCCCTCTGCCCCCCCCCCCTCGCCCCCCCGGCCCAACACCCAGCCGCGGCGAGGTCGTCGCTCAGATCAAGCGCGTCAAGACCTTGCAGTCGCTCATGCTCGAGCAGGGTACGCCCCCCGCCGGCCGGGCCCGTGTTCCTTCCCCCTCCCCGCCCCCTCCCGGCCTCCCTCACGTATTGACCGACTTTGTCCTCCCAGGCGCCTCCAAGCAGGAGCTCGAAGAGATCGATGAGCTGTCCAAGCGCCTCGACAACCTGGACTCCCGATTCCCCCGGCCCTCGCGGTACGGCCCTCCTGGTGTTCCCGGCCCGCGCCGCCCGGCGTGGCTGCGATGATACCTAACCCCCCTCCCCCCCCCCTCCCCCCCTGTGCCTGCCTGGCATCGCAGGGCCATGCTTCGCCTGTCCCTCGGGTCGGCGAATGTGGCCATGGCCTTCAAGGACCGCTTCCGCTACAAGGCCGAGTATGAGACCTTCAAGTTCCGCTTCACCATCATCCAGCTTGTCATGGCTACCCTGGCGTACATCTTCATCGATCAGACTTGGCTCAATGGTGCGTCTT